TTTTGCACACCACTAATTTTGTGCGGCCATCTGCGTCTGCAGGATCATCGAAAAGCACCACAGGAAGAGTGCCTGCGCAGCAATATTCAGATTACAAGTCCAAGACTGCAGACCAGTACTCCTACTACTATAACAGCATAAGCAGCGGCCAAGGCCAGCAGCTGGGAGGTGCTGGCTACTACGACAAGCAGCCAAAGTGAGCAAAAACTATCAATCTAATGAATTTTCTCTCTCCTTTTTTTTTTCGGGGAAAATGAATTTTCTCTCTCCTAGCTAAGCTATATCTAGATAGATGCATGTGAAATCGATATTGGTTTGACTTCTCCAGTAATTAATTAATTTGTTGTTAATATATGTTTCTTCTTCTCAGGCAAGGGCACGAATAAGAGGTATCCGTCACTCAAGGGCTGATCTTAACTGATTTGGCAGTGCTTGATGATCGATGAAGAACAATCAACAGATTGCATATACTCATACAAGCACCGTATATACAAATAGTCATATTGAGAGAGGAAGTCTCTGTGTGTTGTCGTGTATCTTTCTGTAAATACATGTTTGGGAGCAGCAGCGAACCTAGATATGTAGGGTTGTTTAATTTCTTCATGTGGTTCATTAGCCATTAAATAAGATGTATTCGATTTGTTCATTGGTTTATTACTGATTGGTCAGTGATCAGTTGTATATTGGGTGTATCAAAACAATGAACCTTGTTTTGGGTTCATCATAGCAAGTTTAATTATGTATAGTCAATTACTAGCTCAAAATCATTTATAACCAATATTGTAGCCAATTCATATACTCCCTCCATCCTAAAATATAATAACTTTTAGCACTTAGGATTTGTTCTAAAATATAACAGCTTCTCCACCAACATTCTCTTTACAATCAATCACAACCCTCCACCATTCACTTTTCCTACCTATCTCTACTTCTCAACCAATCACAACCCCTTCTTATTTAATTCTACCTACTTTCTTAATAACCGTTTCCAACTCTAAAACTATATATATTCTGTAACGGAGGGAGTAATAGTTATCTATAAATATATAATACACCAATAATACCTGATCCTACCTCCCATATACACACAACATCTCACTACTGCAAAACATCAATTCGCTGTCAGCACTATAGGTGCCAGAGTAGGTAAAATCGGTACCTATAGCGCCTTTCCCCACCCACGAGCCCATCTGCCCGCCAAAATCCAAAGAACCGGCACCTTTATCATCAAAAAGGTGTTGGTTTTTAAAAAGAACATGCACCTATACTGGTGTCAGAGAAAGATGGTGGTTTTTATTGAAAATTCGGTACCTTTTAGTTGGCGCGGGGCCTACCTAGGAACTAGTATTTTTGTGGTAACAGGAATAGGTGATGGTATTTTAAAAAAAAAGATACCTATAATATCTTATAGGTGCCGGTTTTCTAAAAAACCGATACCCTGTAAAACCGACCCGAGCCGCACGTTCTTATCCATCCCGGCCCCCTGCCCACCCATCTCTCTCTCTGTCTCACGTCCCGTCTCTTCGCCTACTTTTCTCCGTCCCCAATTTTTTATTTATAATAAATATTAATCATCAAATTAAATAATTAGTAAATGTTTACTTCTATTAAACAAAATAGGAAGGACGCTATCTCTAACAGCGTCCAGGTATGGACGCTCTCACAAATAGCGGCCAACCGTGGACGCTACCGGAAACGACGTCCAGCGTCCATCAGGCACCAGCTGCGGCCCAAATCGAGAGCCCAGACTTCTCTCGACTGCCCTCGAACGCCGGCAGCGCCGTGTTACTTGGCCGGGGAAGTTTACTTCAAGCAGAGCGCCGATAGAGGCCGCCTCCTCAAGCCACAAGGCTGCTGCCGCCATGGCCTCGATCCAGGCAGCCAGGCTTGTACAGATTCATATATGCAGCAAATTGAAGCAAAGCAAAATTGATTCATGTGGGTGGCGCACCCGCACGCAAGTCTCAGTACACTTTTTGTGTTCAATCGTTGCTTACAAAGTTACACAACGAATTCCCCAAAAGACTATGGCAATGATTTATTTGATGATTGGATGTAACCAGGAAGAGGTTTCAGCAAATGCATTCACGCTACTGCAAAAATTGCAGATAGAAGTTCCCATGAAACTAGAGGCTAACAGAATCAGCTGCTCTGTTGACAATTTTTTGTTAACAGAACTTTTGCAGCTCATGGATGCATGTTTCTTTTACATACAAAAAGAAATCAGGTCATGCCATGTTCAGATGCTTGCTTGGTTGATGCATTGTTCCGCTCAAGAGTGAGACATGCTATAAAAAAAATGTGCTCAATACTAATTTATAACACCACACAAGTATGCAGGAGACAATCTATTAGGACATGATTAGTCGAGTATTGCTCTTTTGTACCATGTTAGTAAAAATCTAGCTAGAGCCAATGACTGAATCACATCGATAAATTGGTCGATGACAAGATATAGTGGAATATATAATACATAAGCAGTAAAAACCTTAATCGGCGGCGAGTGAATAATTCGTCAGAGCATCCGTAGTTAGAGCAGGACCGGGCCAGTGGAGTGCAAGCGGTGACACCTAATTAACTTTGGGTTAAAGATGACCCAAGCGGTGACATGGCGCTGGACGGTTGGATCAGGGATCATGGTGTGGACGCTATTCTCAACAGCGTCCCAAAGTGGACGTGATTCACAACAGCGTCCACAGCTGGACGCTGCACACCTTAGCGTCCTTCCCATATTGGTAAATATCGGTCCATAATTACTATTTGTTTAATTTAGGGATGAGTAATTATTATAAATAAAAAAATCGGTTCTCCGTCTCCCCTCTCGCCTCCTTCTCCTCGGCGGCTGCTCTCCCTCCCGGGCGTGGCGGCGGCTGCTGCTGCTCCCCCTCCACCACACAAGTGCCTCTCCTCTCTCTCTCCTTCTCCACCACACCATCTCTCTCGAGGTGGCGGTGGGAGGAAGGCAGCGGGAGGTGGCAGCGGGAGGGAGGCGGCGGGAGATGTCGACGGCAATGGGCGGCGGCGGTGGGAGGAGAGATGGCAGCGGTGGGCGGCACACTTCCCTCCACCAATTCCGGCGGGAGGGGTGGCAGCGGCAGCGGCAACGCCCCACAGGAGGCACACAAATTTCTTCAATATGGCTAGCTAACTCAAAAAATAATGAGAAAAACTAACATGAGAAATCACCTCTTAAAATGCTTAAAAAACACACAGAAAAAAACCAACAAAAAACATGTCGATCCGATTCGCCACCACCTCAAAGAAACCTCAAGAATCGCCCCCGCAATGCCTCCACCTCAAGTGGAGTCGGTCTTCCACGACAGCACATAACTGATCATCGTTGACTACACAGACGGATGGCTGTATGGTGCTCACCGCTGGTGAGCCATGAGGGTGAGAGAGGGGTGAGAGAGATGAGGGGAGAAGGGAGGGAGAGAGGGAGGGAGGGAGATAGAGAGAGAGTGGAGGGAAAGGAGAATCACAGGGATACGATAAGACCAACATATGTAGTGTACTGGTATGGATAAGATGTTCAACTGGATGGTTATTTAGTCATCCGGTTCAAAAGGGATAATGTTCTGTAGTATTTCTATTTTTAAAAGCATAAAGAAAACATAAACTAAAACAATTGCGATCGCTGTTCCTGTTCTTGAATTATCGACAGGAAAAGGGTGTAAAAACACACAAAAAGTTGATGGACCAAAAAAAAAAAATTCTAGACCCTGTCAGACTGATCTGCCAAAAAGAAATAAAATAAAGAAGAATGGAAAGGTCCCCGCAAAAAAAAAAAAAGAATGGAAAGGTACTGGACCTATGGGCTCTTCGGTGACAGCAAAAAAGCCCAATTGCTCTGTCAACGACCCATCAATACCAATAATCCATGCAGCCCAATCCAATTCTCGTTCAGAGTTTCAGACTATGACAGCACCTTGAAGTTGAACAAATCTTTGTATCGTTTATTCATGGAAAAGGGAAGGAAAACATCAGGCGACACTGGATTAATTATTTGCGAGCTGAATATATTGACATTTCAGATTATTCAGACGCAGCAACAAGACGACAACATGGAAACAGCTGGTATTTGTTAGCATGCAAAATTTCCAAGATTTGAGTTTGATCTAACTACAACAGAAACGGGAGAGAAAATTAGCTGCAATAACCTAACCCTGCATTAATAATTTAGAATTCAGATTTAGTTATTTTGTTTATTCAGAGTATTCTGTGGATGGAATGCGAAATGTCCAGGATGTCGTTTGCTTGAACATAACCGCGACAAGTTTTGACCATTAATTAATTTGAATGAAATTTTGTCAAAACCATCCGCACTAAACAGCTGAACTTGTGTCCGGGTTCCTTTTTCTCTTTCCCCCTAGATGAGATTTGAGCTCGATCTAATTTCAGTAGAAACTGATGCGAAAAATACATGCAAGTTCGTAGTCCTTTCTTCATTGATTACATGAGCTAATTTAGTTCTAGATGCCATGAGAAATGAGAAATCTCCAGGATATTTGCTTATTACAAAAAAAATTATGTCAAATAACACGTATATGTGGAAGCTGTCCACGATTCAAACTTAACTTACCATCGTCTGTTCGGTTGGAAAATGGCGGGAAAACCTCAGCAAAAGCTCGAGAACTAGCATTAGTACATGATGAATCTGCAATGGATATTCAGTCAACGCAACGCGGTATAGAAAATTTCAGGCACGCGTCAATACAAGGCTTGCCCATGTGGCCATGTACACGTTACTACGTACTAGCAACTCAATTTTTTTTTTTTGACATGAACTCAAAATTTTGAGAAGTTGTCAGTCGAGAGTTTTAATTTTACTCGGCTAATGGCATGCACATTTCACGGAAATAGGAGAGGTTGCTTCTTGAGCAATCCTGAATTAAGTTAACTGGCCATAAGAAGAAGGGAGAAGCTAAAACTCCTGCAAATTGTGTGCATTGTCAATGAATTTTCTCAGAATTTTGAACGTCATTGAGACGGAGAGCTCTATATAAACTGATGGAATGTGTTAGTTCTCCACAACCGGTACGTCGATAACGTATTCCTCTGAGCATCGATCAGAAGCAAGAGATTTCACAGGCCTGACAAGATCAAGATGTCGTCGTACGGGTCAGGTGAGTACCATTACACCAACTCATGGTACTTCTTCTGTTCTAAAATATAATAATGTATTTTGATCGGATGTACGTAACACATTCTAGTATCCAATGAAAATACCGAGTGGTGGACCTCTCTTGTGGCATGGTATGGCAGCTTCCATAGCTATGCCACAGCCAAACTTAGATGATTAATTGACTATTTGGTTTTGGTAGAAACTCTATTTGTTTGATTACTTGGATGTAAGGGCTATGGTAGAATTGACTTGTGTCTCTAAAAATGAATGAAGAGTCTAAGAATTAAATGTTTACTGCATTATCTTTGTTAAGCATAACTGTTGATTGGACTGACCGTCCAATGCTCTAACCAAAAGGCACAGCAGAAAGCAACAACAGAAAAAAAAAAAAACAAGAAACAAGAGTAAGCACACATCTGTAAAATGGGAACACATTGTGAAAATTATTTCACTCGTAAAACTTACATGAAAAATTCAGGATTATTGCCTTTGTTAATCGTGTGTAGTGCTATATTTTCTAGCTAATGAATGCAAATATAGTGTGATTTATGTATACAAATTTTATCATATTTGTTGAAAGTACAACGTTCTTTGATCTAGCACATCGATCAATCCACCATAGCTAAATTTTATCACTGGGTCCGCCACTAAAAATACCTTATATTTTGGAGTGGAGGGAATACTAACTAGCATATCATATTTTTATATGCATCTGCATAAAACCTAATTAGTATTTTGCCTCTAAAATCCAAATTGATGAATCCACGCAGGATTTCGGAACTCGGTCCCTGCCCAGCAGGGAACAACATTGTATGGAACCTCCTATGGAGCTACTGACTCGCAATCAACGGCTTCATCGTACTACAATGGTAATTAATTAGCAAATAGAATCGGCATAAAAAGCCTATTTTTCTTAGTTGGCCTAGGGGCGATAGATTTGGTGCTAGGCTTATTTATTTCAGGGGCTTGTGTTTATATGGTTGGCACGTGGCTCTTGAGTGTACGTGTGCTCCACAGTACGTATGATCAATCTAGACAACCTTATGTTGTTCAAAAGTTTCATTTTAACCTTTCCCTCTCAATATTAATACCATTGGATGGCCCCTCTTAAGCCATTCCGGCAAACAAAATATTTTTTCTTTATGCATGAAACGATACTGAATTAAAGAACAGTATATATATATATATAAACATTTTTTTCGGGCACTATCTATATATTTACATTATCTTCTATCTATCTTCTATCTATCTATCTATCTATCTATCTATCTATCTATCTATCTATCTTCTATCTATTCTATTCTATTCTATTCTATTCTATTCTATTATATACTAAAAGTCCATGAAACTTCTTACAAACGCTCCTAAACCGCCAAGTGGCGCTCTAATAAATTAGAGAAATCCCTAGAAATTCTAATAAAAAAACAAAACATCTAGCCTTCGGTTTTCACTTAAACTGGTGGACCCATTATTTTACACCGTTGGATCATATTTATGAAAAAGAAACAGTAATCCCTCCGTGATCTGTTGTCCTGGTAATCGCTTAGATTTACATATAGAAAAAAGAACGTGCTACGTGAGCCTTACGTTCTGCATGCGCGACGAAACAACGACTACATATACGTCGACCTCTTTCACTGGTGATCGCCCTGCACCAGAAGATCTGCGCCACAAAAACAGCCGTGAGTGCCATGAGTCCATCGATGTGGATCCATCCAAACTCTTGAGTCCCCAAACATATACTGCTCCGGTGCAATTTAATTATCAATTAAGATTTGGTTCAAACTTTGATCTGCAAACTACTTTTGCTGTTTTTTTTAAGAAAAATCCCGTTCAAACTTCCAAGTTGTTTCGTTTCTGATATGAAACGACATCAACTAATTAAGGGCTCAGCTAAGCCATCGGATGACCCCTAAGTTTACTTGCACCAAGGTAGATCCATTAACTTTTGTTCAGAACGCAAGCAACCAATATGATTTAGCATGGCACTCTATAAACACTCATAAGTCGAGGAATCCTATAGTATCAATATTATAGCCTGTGCAATGTAAATTTGAGGAATCGTCTAGCCAAAAAATAAATATATTATTATATATTATATACTAAAGGTCCATTAAACTTTCTACAAACGCTCTCAAACCGTCACGTGGGATTCCTACAAAAGCTTCTAAACCGCCACGTGACGCTCTAATAATTTCTGAGAAAAAAAAATATCTAACCGTTTATTTTTAAGTTAAAACAGTTGACCCGGTAATACTAACCATTACATTAAATCCACCGATCCGATCACCCTTTTCTCTTGGAGCTACAGGTACGTATAAAACGTACGAACCACCACATCTGCTCCTCCCACTCAGTATTCTCTTTCTTTTTTATTTTTTATTAAGGTTATGCACCATAATTTGTTACTATAAAAATTATTAGATCTATTTTTACGTGGAACTTTAATTTACATATGAATGATCTTGGTGACATAAATAAATAATTACTTTTTTAAGCCAATCTACACATTCAATTTATGACACGCTTAAGCGAAGCCATCCATGACAAATCATTTATGATAGCTCTCATACTAACGAACGGATCAAAACTTAGAATGTTTGAGATATGTCTGTAGGGATAATCCATCAAAGAAGTAAGATCATCTATGACAAGTGTAGTTTTGATGAATTACGCATATGACCTAACAGATGATAAGTCTCCGCTTTCCTCACTTCCTCTCTCAGTTTTCTAGCTAAAGAGTTAAAAAAATCAATAATTAGATGGCTAAATATTTTTTAACATATTTGATTTTTTTTGTTTGATCCATATTGACCATGTTTTGGTACATAATATTATACATTAAAAGTCCATGAAACTTTCTACAAACGCTTCTAAGCTGCCACGTATACCCTATAAATGCTCCTAAGCCACCACGTGGCACTCTGATAAATTAGAGAAATTCTTAAAATCTCTTAGAAAAAGGCAAAAACTATTGAATTTCATTTAATCCGGTGGACCTAATATTTTTAACCATTAGATCAATCTCTAAAAGAGACGTGGGGCCTCTTCTGCTCGATGCACCACATGGGTTGCTGCCGGATGGGCACCACGGTGGGCAACGGCACCATCGACGCCCATGGCGAGAGCTGGGAGGCGGAGCAGCTGTATGTGTGCAATGACAGCGTGCTGCCCACCGCAGTGGGCATCAACCCCATGATCACCGTACAGTCCGTGGCGTATTGCGTTGCCAATGGCATTGCTGACTCCCTGTCCGGTAAAACGACTTAATTAGCTCTACTGTTGTTGCAAATTCTATCAGTATACGCATATGATTGTTATGAGCACCAGAATAATGTGCATGCGCCTTTGTCGTGCAAAGTTGTGGATTATTTGTAATTATCTCCATGAAAAAGAAAAAAAAACACCGCATCTTTCTACATGCTGGTAGAATTCATCACTCTTGGTAGTCTAGAATTCATCGCTCTCGAACATATCTTTTCATCACATTAGATATGCACAATACTCATAATAATACATATTTTTTCATGTAATTAAAAATTTTAGTGCGCATGGAGTCGTAAGTACGGCATGTTATCCGCGGTCCCTCTTTTTCTCTTTCTCTGTTCCCTCTCTTATTCCTATTTTTATGCAATGTTGGTTAGAAACCACAAATCTAAATTGATATTTTTTATCTGTTTATATCGTTAGATAATTTATGACTAAATATATGGTTAAAGATCATATTCATTATATTTCAACTTTCAAAAAAGTCACATTTTGGTTATAATTTCTGACTTTTATATGTGTCATTTAGATAAATATAAAAAATATGAAAAAATAATCATATATATTTTTATCAACGTATTCACAATAATTAAATTAGATCAACAACGGTAAAAGTAAAATAAACTTAACTATGAGTGGTGTTAAAAAAAATTATTCCCCGCATTCTAAAACTATGGTAAGTCAAAATAATATAATTATATTTATCTATTATATACTAAAAGTCCATTAAACCTCCTAAAAGAACTCTCAAGCCACCACGTGAACATCCTAGAAACGCTTAAGACTCCTGATCGGTCACAGTTTTGCCCCCATCGACATTAATGGGAACACCATCAGCATGGGGGCCAAATTAGCTTGTGACTACATGTGTGATAGGGGCCAAATTAGCTTGGGAGTACAGGTGTATATCACAGATGACCGAGCTAAGAGCTTTATCTACCAATTATTTTAGAAACTTAAAAGATAAAAACTATTTAGTATTCAAACTACTATGATTGTATAAATGGCTAATTCTTTCAAACAAAAAAGATAAAATAGGGTAAGCATGGTAGGCTTCACATTTAAGATTATGCAATATAAATATTGTCACTAAATGCCCAATGCACGTTAGCTAACATAAAATCACAAACAGTGATCGTTTGGATCACGTAAATTTCTAATGTTTAATCATAAATTTTAGAGCAAAAATATTTAAATCATGACAACAATCATACCACAGTGCACGGAACAAATGAATTGTCTCCCACACTGCGAAATCAATTTAGACCCGAGAAGGCTTTTTTGTTTGAAATATATATAGTGTCACATGCACCCAAGGTATCGATTAATAACAATGAAACAATCTAGCCAACATATAGAAAAAAATAGCAGGTGCATCTCACCAAAGATACAGTAAGTTGTAAAATATGTAGCCAATTTGCTACATACTAAAAGGAACACCGAAAGTAACTATCAAGTTCTATTGATCGTTGGCAAATAGTTATACGGGCACAAAGATTTGTATGTACCATTACTTTCATAATCAATCAATGTAAAATGTCAACTTTAAGCCACTTATCCAACTTTTTAATTGAATGAACAATTGTGTTCATCGCACTCATAAACAAATGATCTCCACGGGCATTCTTTTCACATGTTCCTCAAATGTGCACCCTCCTATGTGACGAGCTTGGCTCAGACCCATGGGCCACCTTTAGAAACAACTTTTGTAATGTTTTTACACAACTATTTTAGTGGAGTACTTAGCCCACAAGATAGCATTGAAACTTTTATAGAGAGAACTATTTTAGTGAAGCACTTAATCCGCAAAGGTAGTATTGAATCAATCTACTCCCTTGGCTATAGGGGAAAAAACTCATTTTATGTCCTAACGATATTTTATTCTTTTTTTAATTTTTTTATGCTTCTCTACATACAAGCCATATTTCGCTTTGACACATCAATAAATGAATGTCAATGATAATTAAACGAATTTACTAAATTCCATGACTTGCATGTATAAGCTTCTAAGGTATCAATACAAAATCAATAAATTAAAGACAGCAGGATGGTAGAAAACTATATTTATGAGAAATTAAAGTTTCTTAAGATTTTTTAAGAAAAAATAAACAATGAGCATTCAATTAAGAAGGGAAATACATAACTTTAATTTAAATTCATTTTGTTAGACCTGTTTTCGAAAAGAAATAACAAGCATGCCCGTGCGAATGCGCGGGCTACCTTCCTAGTTATATATAAAGAGTATATAATTAATATGATGGTAATCAGAAAACTTTCCAGGTGTTTTTAAGCTCTCTTTTTTCACACCACTAATTTTGTGCGTCTGCAGGATCATCGAAAAGCACGACAGGAAGGGTGCCTGCGCAGCAATCTTCTGATTACAAGTCGAAGACTGCAGATCAGTACTACTATAACAGCATAAGCAGTAGCAAAAGCCAGCAGCTGGGAGGTGCTGGAGCAAAATCAAGTGAGCAAAAATCTATCTAAGAAATTTTACAGTACTTAGGAAGAATATGTAAGTACTATACCAAAATATTAATACCTCAAGATATATAATAGCTGAAGGTATAAAAGATTTTACACTAAAAATATAATACATCTCGATACTTTTTCAAAGATGCTAAAATTACCCATCTAATTTACCCTCTCCTAGCTAGATAAAGTATGTAGACAGTTTTATGTGACATCGTTATTGTTTTGACTTCTCCAGTAATTAATTTGTTGTTAATACATATATCTTTCTTCTTCTAAGGCAAGGGCACGATTAAGAGGTATCCGACACTCAATGGTTGATCGTAACTGATTTGGCAGTGCTCCTGATGATGATGAAAAATCAACGGATTCATATATATATACTCATAGAAGCACCGTGTATACAGATAATTTCTTTATGTTGTTCATTAGCCTTTGCATACTATGTATTCGATTTTTTCATTGGTTCATTATTGGGGGTATCAAAACAATTAACCTTGTTTTGGGTTCATCAGTATGTACATTTATATATGTCGCTAGCTCCGTGCTCGATGTTCATGTATATATATATATATATATATATATATATATATATATATATATATATATATATATATATATATATATATATATATATGTGTTCATTCATTAATTATTCAGTCAGTATATAAATGTATGTAGGGTGTCAAATATTTCCCGTGTTGTATCTATCTGCATGAAAAATGATTATGAGATCACTTGAATTCCTCTCCTGCTGTCCCATCTAGCATGATCAATAGAAATATTGCAATCACTGTAATATCTGCTGTATTTTCAACCCACGCACCATTACTAATCAATCCAGCATAATTTAACTGTGCCATTCAAGGTTACAGACCATAACAGCACCTTGTAGTTTAATTAACAAGTGCTTTTATAGTTTTTGGAGAAGGGAAGAGAAATTGGCATCATGCATGAGAGCTAATTGTAGTTCACTAATACCAAAAAGCCAGTCACTGACGGGCGAAACGGTTTTCGTTGCCGGCCACATGCGACTAACCTGCCACCGCCAGTAAAAATAGAGCCTTTCCACTGACGGAACACCGGCCACCTGCGAGATCCATTCTTCGCATGCGGACAGGCTTATGATGATCGTCGGTAAAAATACATTCTTCACTGCCGTCGGAGCGATGCTTGGCATCCTCCCAGTGCGGAGGAAGGAGTTCAGAGCGACACCACCAGTGGCCCCATGCATGATGGCATGGAGAAAATTGTAATATTAGGACTGCAAACATTGGAGCTTCGCTGTTTTAACACTTTGAGTGGGTGACAAATGAGTCCATCTGTGTCTATGAAATATGGGTCCAGTGTCATTATAACAAAGATTAATGTTTGCAGTATCATTATTGCAAATCTCCCGCAAGGCATGGCATGGAGACGGATGAGACTAGCGGAGGAATAGGGTGAGGGGGAAATCAAGACTTATCCACGAGATTGGGGGTCGCACTTACCACCATAAGCGGGCACGTTACGACACACGACACACAAAAAGATTTTTTGGTGCATTTTATTTTATCAAAAAAGCATTCTGGAAACCCTAGATCGATCCCGACCGTCGGATCTTCGCTCGGCAAGCTCTCTCCAGCGCCAGATCCCCCATGGCCTGAAGCCCAATGCCGTCGGTCCTCCCTGCCGCAGTCATCTGCTGTCGCCCACCGCTGCATCCACACCTCGCAAAACCCACACCGTCGTCGTGAGATATATCGCAACGTTGCAATATATACAACGCATGTTGCAATAAGTCAGATATATCACAACAAATATATTTGCTTTGTAATTAGGGCGACGTGATTATGGCGCTTTTATAATGGTTGCAAGAGTTGTCCATGTCACAATGAATATAAATCATTGTTATTAGTTACATCATGTGTTGCAAAAGAGTCTATGTTATTCCAACTCAAAACTGTAGTGTCGCAAAATGAATCTCTTGTATATAGCAACACGAAACGATATTTTTGCAAAGCTGTCTTAGGTATTGCAACGACCTGAATCATTGCAACGAGTCTTAGATATAGCAACAAATACTGGGAACCGTTGGTACTATCAAGGATCATTCGCAATAATATTTTGTCATTGCTAATGTAGAAGAACGATTCGTGGCAATATATAAGTTTGGCGGTGCCACCAAGGTTGTCCATGGCCTTTCTATCGTTAAACTTTGCATCAATATATAGCCCAAGTCAGAGTCAGCACATACGTAATTTATCCCACATACACATGTCAAATCAAATTTGACACAGGTTCACGTAATTTAGCCCACGCACCCATATTTTTGACATTACCGTGAAGTGAGCGTAGCTCAATGAGTTAGCTTCCTTGCGGTGGAACTAGCTCACCTGGATTCAAGTTCTAAATTTGACACATGTGTTTCTATTTACGGCTAACTATTCATTCAGTGATACCCATAGCGAGCGTATGTTATGCATATGTGTATTCATAAATGTGAGTATGTGTCAAATTTCGGAGATATTTATAAGCCAACCAGGTCTTTCGGAGATATTTATAGGGGTAGGTTATGCATATGTGTATTCATAAATGTGAGTATGTGCGTGTTGTGAGCGTTTACATTTACACTATGTTTTAAAAAAAAGTTTCTGACCTTACTAAATTTTATCCTCGTGATTTTTTTAGAAAATTTATTTTTCGAAGTATATATTATAAATTCATAACGGCAGCACATGAATTTCCCCTAAAAACATCTAAAAAATTTATAGTTGTGATCGAAACTCTTTCTAATCAATCATTTTTATCTACGAGATTTATTGAAAATATAATTGTGAGAGTATTTTTCTTCATTATGATTTTATTAATATAATTTTTACATATCATATATAAATATTTTCTTAATATAGTTATATATTTTTGAAGTTTGATTGCATGTATGCTAAAACCACGTCTACGAGAAATTTCCAGGATATTTGCTTGAACAGGGAAGGGTTTGACATTATTTAAATTAAATGAAATCTGTCAAAATCACCGACACCGAACAGCTGGAGTTCGTCACCATGCAAAAATCTCCTAGTATCTGATCTTTTTTCTAGATGAGGTTTAATATAACTACATAGAAACCGGAGGGGAAAATAAAATGCAAAGATTGTAGTTTCCACTAGTACAGAACCTTACATCTGTGACGGCCTCTAACATACTTGGAATTAGCGGCCGTCACAAGGAAGTCATCTCAATCGGCCAAAAAAGCACCCGATTGAGATAACTCAGACCCGTCACGGATGACACATATAAGTGATGAGCCGTAGTTTATGCCCGATTGAGATAACATTCCATATCTCAATCGGGCCCCATCATCCATGACGGGGGCCAACTTGCGGCCCGATTGAGATATGGAATGTTATCTCAATCGGGCCTAAACTACGACCCATCACTGATATATGTCATCCGTGACGGGCCTGAGTTTTATGCACATCTAACATGTCTGTGCGACCATATCTCAACAATTAGGCCCGTCATAGATGACTCATCCATGACGGGCTCTATACTAATGCCTGATTGAGATGACTGTCGACGGGTGATACCCGTAGACCGGATATAGAGAGTATTGGGGTACGTTGGTACAAGGGTCTACGTAGTACGACATCAAGCAAACAGAAGACGAAGATTATACTGGTTCAGGCCACTTGATAGGTAATAGCCCTAATCCAGTGGTATGGGATTATATGATGGAAATCACAGGTTCCAAAGGGAACAATGGAACTCGATGAAACCGACGAGATCGTAATCGAGTCAATTCGACTAGACCTCTCGGCGATCTGGCTTCCGCGGGCTCCGACTTCGTAGGCTGTGGTGGTAGTGTTGGCTATGAGATTCGACCCCGCAGGTCCTCCCAGGGGGTCCTTTTTATACCGCAAGTCAAGTAGTCTCCAAGCAGGACTCGGAGACATCAAACCGCACACGGTACGCTGACAACCTAGTCTTGTCCGAGTAGATCTCTTTACATCTGCCAATTCCGCGAAGGATTTCCTTAACTCGTACAGAGAATGTCCATGTATGCACGGGTATGCCATATCGATATGTAACATATATCGAAGGGTAAGGGGTATCCCTAATCCGTAACCCTGACAGTAGCCCCCTACTTCTGCTTAAATGAACTCATGTGACCGATCACGACTTCTGATGTCGAAGCTGTTGTCGTTCTCGGTGTATGAACCGTGGAGACAGGACGCAATCGACAATACCATGTGAAACCCAACGGTCATGAGTGAATTTAAACTGAAGTCTGAAAAACTGCCGCGCGTAACGGACCTAGAAATTTCCGGCGGTAATCTCTCTCCTTTCCTTGAAATTCGCACCGTCGGAAGCGCATCTATTTAAGAGGATTTTGAGGATCCACTTTGAAGTCCGCCCATTGTGGAAGAAAGCTCTCCAGCCTCCAGGCATTCCTCGTCTCCTCCGCTCCTGCAAAACCAGAGCTTGTTCATCTCGGCCCCTTCTCCGGCGATTTCCGGCGGCAATGGATCTCGGCAAGTCCACCTCCACCAGCGCATCGTTGAAGAAGCTACAGGAGGATGGCGCCCTTCCCGGCCGTGGAACCATGGAGAGGGAACCAGGAGGTACTGAACCCGAACTTGTCCTGGGCCGTATGGTTGCGATCGAGGATTATATTCTCTGTGGCTTTCTTCCCCCGCCTTCTGAATTTCTTCTCTTGATCTTGAATTTCTACGGCCGTTCTTTGCTCCATTTGAACCCCAATTCCATTGCCTTTCTCAGCATCTTTTCCCATCTTTGTGAGGCCTACATTGGGGTAGAGCCATTTCTCGACCTCTTCCGCTTTTACTACGAGTTGTGTTGGATGGAATCCACCAGGGTATCTGGATGTGTGGGTTTCCGACTTCGAGATGGCCTGAAGTCGCGATACATCCCTTTCTAGAGCCCTTCTTCTCGTAGTAAGTGGCGGGCGAGGTGGTTCTACCTTCAGATAGAGGATTCAGATCTGATCTTTGTCGTTCCCGAGGAACAGCCAGACAAAATCCCATCTTGGACCGCAAAACCCACCTTGACCCCTGCTCTTCAATTGTTTATCGATGCCATCGATGACCTCCGAGCGCGAGGTTTGTCAGGGTACGAAGTTGCTGCCGACTTCATTAGTAGGCGGATCCAGCGGCTCCAGGCTCGTGCCCATCCAGCCTTTGACTACTCTGGACCAGAGGACGTGACCCGGTTTTCTCCTCGGGGTATTTTTCTTGTTTGGTTAAATTGATCCCCTTCCGTTCATGTTCTTCTTGATTTATCGAGTTCTGTTCTCGATCTGCAGGCTTGAGTGACGCCACCGTGGAGCGCCGCGTCGGTCAGTTAATGATCAGCGGCCTGACAACGGCCAGCGACGTCCCCGTCCCTCTTTGCGATAAGGAGGCGACCGAGCGCGAAACCACAATCTTTGTCTTTGTCTCCTGGGTCGGAAAATGACTTCATGTGATACAGGCTCTCCCTCTGGCTGACGTCATCGGACCGCTCGCGGACCACCAGGCGGCGGCCTCATTGAAGGTGA